TAATATGAGACAAAAAAAATATTTGTGACAAGTTGGGCTGTTTATGTCGGGCACTAACAGCTCTCTGTTAAACAGGAATAAATTCACTTGCTGAGTTATAGATGGTTTCGGGGGGTTGGATGGCTGAATGGTTAGCACGTGCGCGCTGTATCATAAAGCCTGTCATTGAGTCAACTGGCGTGGTTTCGAATCCCCGGTTGTACGTGACAAGGAGTAGGGTCGCCTGTCCAATCTCGTGGGTTTTCTCAGGGTTCTCCGGTTTCCTCCCACTCCTAAAGACCCCTACGTGTAATCCCCATTTCTCTCTCTCTCTCTCTCTATAGATGGTTTCGACAATATCATGGAACATGAAAGTGCTGGGAATACCCACCAGAGTTCAGTTGAGATAGGTAATTTATTGGTCTTGAAGGAAATAATAGTGATCCCGGCATTGCTAGCCATTTTGTAAGACATGCGTAATGTAGAACACAAGATATGATTGGACAATACATGACAATTTTAGCCAATGAAAAAATTGATTATTCAGGTTCACGTTTGAATATTAACGACTGTCTTATAGTTTATGATATGCTTTCCCATTAGCCGAAATGACTGCTACACACGCCATTTTGTGGAATTCATCCAACCAAATACAGTGTTGCTTATTCCAGGGTATGTGGGCCCCTACATGTGTATTATCAACATCTTTAGTTTGTAATGAGGAATAAACGAGAAATATCTTCTGATGTTTGGTAGAATTATATTTAGATGTTATTAACGTAATTTTTTTAAAAATTTTTTTTGGTGTTAAAAAAGTCAACGCTCGATTTTTGGGGTCCTCTACCTAAGCGCGCAGGCGATGAGAAACAAGGAATTAATTCAACACGGCCCAAGTGCTCACTAAAGCTGAGAGATCAGACGATCTTCGCGTGCAACCTTTGACATCAATCGAGCAGACATCCCTAATCGTCGGGTTGCCAGTTAGGGAAACCCCTACATTTTTGTCCTGTATGCATTCCATGTGGGTTTTTCAGGGAATCCAGTATTTTTCTAGTAAGATTGGATGTTTCTACTTTCCATATATACCAAAATTGCCATACTTTTATTGGAAAGAACCCCCCGATGATTACTTTTGTGGGAAAGTATCTTTAAATGTAATCTTGTATCATGTTGGATAGAGATTTAACTACGACTATGGTGTTTATCGTATCCTTGTTTTAAATGTAATCTAGTTTCAGTTAACCCTTAATATTACTGTTTCTGCCTTTAATCTTAATGTTGTTAAATTTGTAACCATGTCACACCTGTACAACATTATTATTTTTTATATTTAGAACACCTGACCTGGTTATCAGAGGCGGTTAACTTATCAAATCCTAATTTGCTGATAAGCTCGTATTCAGCTAGAGAGATATGATGTAATGTATGCCGTTAGACTATTCTAGCAGCTACTCGCGTGGAGTAGTCATAGGTCTATTGTACTAATGTTATGATTCATACATCATATAGACCAGACCACTTTTGATACTTAAAATAGAAGTATTTTAAAGTCAAAGTGTGGTATATTTGTACGTATACACCAGTCAAACTGTGGTATATAGAATATACCAGACCACTTCTCCTTTATTTTGATACTTAAAATAGAAGTATTTTAAAGTCAAAGTGAGGTATATTTGTACGTATGCCCCAGTCAAAGTGTGGTATATTTGTACGTATACACCAGTCAAACTGTGGTATATAGAATATACCAGACCACTTCTCCTTTATTTTGATACTTAGAATAGAAGTATTTATTATGGGTGTAAAGTTGTTTTCTATTTAAAGTCAAAGTGTGTTATATTTATACGTACACACCAGTTGATAACCATGGTCTATTAATACCTATCAGTGGGTATTATTTATTCCTAGTGATTACATCATATAACCTTCTATACGATTCGACGTGAGGTATACCCACCATTTAGCATGTTCCCAACTCTCGCTTTACGTCATACCTCTCTTTATCTCGCTCACGCTAGTTATGTATGGGTACATTGATATCGTGGGAATGTATGTTGACTACATTTAGATTACGTGGAGACACACGTGTGTGACCGTGCCTGAATATTTGAAGGCCAAATTGTGGGATTGCATCAAATGTTCTTCACACAAAAGGTAGACAAATAAAAATGTCAGTGTGTTTTTACTTGAAGACATGCAGGTGCACTGTTATGGGGTGATGCAACCATTCAGTGTTTTGACAGTTTGATTTTAATAAAACCAATAAGGTTTGAGAGGGGAAGGAGTTATCTGGGCAGGGGTTTGGTATACTATAAGATAGACTGAGGCACCCTGTTTATATTAATCAAGTTTTCACCAAACCTTACAAAACACTTAAAGATACATTATGTAAGATTTAGATAAAGAGCTGACCATTCTTGCCATAATAGCTCAAAAATAGATAATGTAAAATAAAAATATTGAAAATTTCATTCACACTACTTTATTCTGAGCGGGGGGGGGGGGGGGGGTGCATGGCCGAATGGTTAGCACTTGCTTGCTGTATCGTAAGGTCTGTCATTGAGTCAACTGGCGGGGTTCCGATTCCGTGGTTGTACATGACAAGGAGTAGGGTCGCCTATCCAACCTCGTGGGTTTTCTCCGGGTCCTCCGGTTTCCTCCCACTGCTAAAGACCCCTACGCGCAAGCGAATTATTGAAATAAAACTGAAACATATGTTAGTCCCTAAATGACCTAGTTTATGTGGAGTGGACGTTAAACCCCATTTAAAGAAAGACCTGCAATAAGCAGATTTAGCTCTTGCATAATGTATGTTTAAGAAATTAGAAATTTTAGATAAATTCCCCTCCATGACATTGTTCTACATATTCCCCATATCCCCCTTCTCCCCCAAAAATAATCACACCTAAACACACAAATAGATACGCAACAGAAAGGCAACAGTCCTCTTTCACATATTATTAGAAAGCATGGATTGGTTGTGAAATATTGTTTAATTCCAAATTTCTTGTGTTTTGTGGGGGGTGGATGGCTGAATGGTTAGCGTGCGCGCTGTATCATAAAGTCTGTCATTGAGTCGACTGGCATGGTTTCGAATCCCCGGTTGTTCGTGGCAAGGAGTAGGGTCGCCTGTCCAACCTCGTGGGTTTTATCCGCGTCCTCCGGTTTCCTCCCACTGCTAAAGACCCCTACGCGCAAGCGAATTATGTAAATAAAATTAACCAAAATGTTAGTCCCGAAATGACCTAGTTTGTGTCGACGGATGTTAAACCCCATTTCTCTTTCTCTCTCACTTACATTTCCGTTTTTCACCTCCCACTTTTGTTGATCAAATGGGTGCAAGAGCTATATTATATCTTCCAGTCAACCCACCTTAACTATTGTTCAAACTTTAGTGGAGACTAAAGAAAGACATTTATGTTTCAAAGCGAGCTTTATGTTTTAATTCTAATTTAATTAACGATTCCAAAGCAAAATTTGACATTTTGATCTATGCACTCCCTATGTAAACAAGCCCATCCATCGACATCTTTATTTTTCGTGATATTGAATTGATGGGCCTGCTTTTAATTCCGATTGAAAATCTATATTTTACAATCAACTCACGTGAACTTTTGTTCAAACTTTAGTGGAGATTTATGTTTCAAACGAGCTTTATGTTTTAAAGGCTCAATACCACTCTTGTTGTAACTGAATAATATGTCCCAATCTTTATTCTGGTCAACAAATTGTACTATTTTACAATTAATTGATGATACAGATTTGATCTTAACACACCTAATTTAAAAAATGGGAAAAATTCAACTAAATGATTTGAAAAGCCTGACGTAAAGCTTTTCAAATGTGGCTTGGATTTAAAAATATTTTTGAACCCTCTACCTGGACAAGTAAAATAGGATTTAATGGATAATTTACACAACAGGTAGGACACTTAACACATCTAGTACTTAGAATAAGGCTATTTTTTATTTTCTGGAGCTGTCAAGCCAGCAAGAGTGTTATTGTCCCTTTAATTCTAATATAGTTAACGATTCCAATACAAAAATGACATTTAAAGTAAAATTTGTGTAAGAATTTGAGCGATATAGGAATCTCTTGTAAACTACAATATATGACACAGTTGAAATATGAATACAGGACACAGGAATATCAGTCCGAAAAATGGTTAAGCTCTGTTCAGTTCCAAACTGAAATTCCACTGATCAATGCTACTCCCTATGTAAACAAGCCACAGCCGTTTTTGTTTTCATCGAATCAAAATAGCCAGAATATTTTGATTCGATGTTAAATAATCAATCTGAGTACGTATTAGCGAGAAATTTGATATTTTTTAAAAATGCAAATTGTGCAATTATATTTGAAGGTTAACAAAAAATGTGTATAACAGTTCTAGAAATAGTGAGGCTCAAGTAGGTGATTTCGGGACTAATTTGGGGGAAAATAGTAAAGTATTTCACAAGTCGTCTTCTTGTGTGACCAACTTCTAAACCATTAACACTTGAGATTGATGATAATTTAACATAGTATATAATATCCTGAATTACATGAATAATTATCTGATAATGAAGACTTCAAAACAGCGATAAAATAATTAGTACATTATTGATAGAAATAGAACACTTATCGATAATACAAGCTTATAGAAATGAAATGAAATGGAGTTTAACGTCCTACTTTTTTCTGTACCGACTGGGCTAATGAAGTCGCACTTACGCCTTATGTCTTTTGCCATTCTTTATGGCTGTCCTCTATCCCTGTTCTTTAGGTGTGCCCTTGAGTCAATTGGCGTGGTTTGAATCCCTGGTTGTATGTGGCAAAGAATAGGGTCGCCTGTCCAACCTTGTGTGTTTTCTCCGGGTACTCTGGTTTCCTCCCACTGCTAAAGACCCTATGCGCAAGCGAATTATTGAAACAAAATTAAACCATATGTTACTTTCGAAATGACCTAGTTTGTGTCGAGTGGACGTTAAACCCCATTTCTCCCTCTACCTCTACAACTATAATCTATTTCTCTATTTTAGATGAAGTGGATTCAGAGCAAGAAAAGAAAATGGATGCTCTGTGTTCAAAGGCTCTGGAAGGGTTCCTCTTCATCTTATCTAAAGATGGAGACATTGTTTATGTGTCGGATACTGTGGCCAAATATCTGGGCATACAGCAGGTAAGATATACACATTCATGGAACAAATTTAGTTTATCTTTCTGAAGATTCACATGTCGCTTTAGATCATAGGGTCTGTTATTAAGTCTGAGAATGTTTTGTGAATTCGGGGCCTGGTTACAGTGCATGTACAATAGATGTTATGGATGGATATTGGAGGAGCTTCACCTTTTTTTTTTATCTTTTTGATTGATGGCTTAAAACCTGGCAACATTGTAGAAATGACGAAATGACAGTACAGTTGAGTTGCTAAAAATATTGAATGGATTCAAAATAAAATTTGTCAAAATAAATTGAATTGTTTCAATGGCATTTAGTAATTGAAGTGGAAATTATTTGTAATACTTTTTATTACTGAGTGACGTTTTGACAAGGCGGCTTCTCTAAAAATTAAAGGGAGATTGGATGGCCGAATGGTCTGTCATTCAGTTGATTGGCATGGTTTTGATTTCCCAGTTGTATGTGACAAGAAGTGGGGTCGCGTGTCCAACCTCATGGGTTTTCTCTGGGTTCCCCGATTTCCTCTCACTGCTAAAGCGACTTATTGAAATAAAATTGAACCATATGTTAGTCCTGAAGTGACCTAGTTTGTTTGATTGGAGTTCAACCCCCCCCCCCCCCCCCCCGCTTTCTCTCTCTCTCTCTCCCCCTCTCTCTTTCTCTCTCTCTCTCTCCCTCTCTCTCTCTCTCTCTCTCTCTTGTACCTGAAAAGGAGTAGGGTCGCCGCCAGTCCAACCTCGTGGGTTTTCTCCGGGTCCTCCGGTTTCCTCTCACTGTTAAAGACCCCTACGCTCAAGCGAATTATTGAAATAAATTTGAACCATGTGTTAGTCCCGAAATGACCTAGTTTGTGTCGAGTGGAGGTTAAACCCCATCTCTCTCTCTCTCTCTCTCTCTGGATGTACTAGTTTGTGTCAGTGGAGGTTATACTCCATCTCTCTCTCTCGTTCTCTCTCCCCCTCTCTCTTTCTCTCTAAAATTGTATTCCATAGAATTGCAACCTGTGTATTAAAACAAATTTACTCATATTTACACATGCTATCATTTCTTTCAGTATTTCTTGGTTAATTTCAGATTGAACTAACAGGTCAGAGTATATACGAGTTTGCCCACCCCTGTGATCACGATGAGATTAAGGATATAATGTCCGTCAAACCCAACAACTCGAAAGATCAATTTTCGGACGAGAGAATCTTCTTTATCAGGATGAAGTGTACTCTTACAAGCAAGGGTCGAAACGTTAATCTGAAATCAGCCAGTTATAAGGTAATTGTTGTGTTAAGGGTGTTAATGTGTCTGGGGGTGGACGTGGGGGACGTTGAGGGAATTGGGGGAGGTGTTGATTAGTATGAAGTGTATTCTTACTAATGAAGGTCGAAACGATAACCTGAAATCAGCCATTAATAAGGTAACTATGGTATTAAATGTATCTGCTCCGACCTGGACTAATGAAGACGGGCATACGCCATAGTGTGCCATGATGGAAATTTTGCCCAGACAGCGACACTACGGCCTACTCATATATCGATCTCTTAACTGCCAAGGGGTCTTTTATGTGCACTCCAACCTTCACAAAACCTCATATTTTTTGTCCCATCCAAACAACTTTGTGTTTTCATCCCATTTAAAGTACACTGGACGTCCAGCTTATTGAGCCAACATCTTACTCACTAAGCCACCTTGGCATTGGGTTATTCACTATCCAGTGTTGGGGAAGAAAGTTACAGTCTTGTTTGTACTTGTTAGTCGTGGAGGGACGGAGTGCCTGGCATTGAAAAGCGTCTGATTGTTCTGATTGTACGGAAGAGTTCCTGTGCAGAGAATTGGCCACACATCTAAAATTGGGGGGGGGGGGAGGTGGATGGCCGAATGGTGAAAACGTGCGCGCTGTATCATAAGACCTGTCATTGAGTCAACTGGCGTGGTTTTGAATCCCCGGTTATACATGACAAGGAGTAGGGTCGCCTGTCCAACCTCGTGGGTTTTCTCCGGGTCCTCCGGTTTCCTCCCACTGCTAAAGAACCCTACGCGCAAGTGAATTATTGAAAGAAAATTAAACCATATGTTAGTCCCGAAATCATTACAGTACTAGAGTTTTTTCCTATAAAAAGATATTTTTTCTAAGATCCCCAGGGAAGAGTGGAAAAATCTTATTTTAGAAACGATATTTTTTGTAATTAATTACTCTGTCTTTTGTTTTGAAGGTATTGAAGTGTACTGGCCGTTTGGTGACCCAGGATAGCCATAGAGAGGTGAAAAACGGTCGAACCGATTCAGCTAAAGTTTATCCGTATCTTACAGCTATCGGAGAAACAATCCCTCATCCGGCCAATATTGAAGTTCCTCTCGATGGTAACACATTTCTCACCAAACATGACATGGATATGCATTTTACATACTGCGATGACAGGTAAGGCTGTTTGAGTTATCTGTCTTGAATTCATAGAATGTATTTACCTCCTTAGGCCTTGTAAAATGGATACCTTGTTTCTTTTCCTCATGCTCTGGGTAAACCTAATAGGGTGTGCGGTAAACACAACACAAACTGTACTTTTCAACAAAAACTTTTGCAAGGCCTTCATACACTCTGAATATCTCTATATTTTGTGTTAAGAAGCTGTGTAGGCAATTTTCAGGTCTCGATTCCTATGAGCGCAGGTGAGAAGAAACGAGGTACCAATTTTATATGGTCTATCTGATCCTGGGAACTGTCAGGGTCCTTTTTCAGGGGACGGCTACAATCAAGTTCAGACGGAGAAAACAACGACCAGTTGCCACTTTTCAGGGGTAATGTCTGTTGGTCAGACAAATTAAGTATTGCCTAGTTGTTTGGATGGGACAAAAATCTGATGTCCATCTGAATGACTATACAGGCCCTCCGTCCTGCACCAGACAAGATGGAACCATGGTGGAAAATATGCAATACAATCACACACTTATACATTAATTACAATGTCTAGTAAAGTAATGTGTATTATACATTAATTACAATATCTAGTAAAGTGTATCATACATTAATTACAATGTCTAGTAAAGTAATGTGTATTACACATTACAAGGTGTAGTAAAGTGTATTATACATTAATTACAATGTCTAGTAAAGTAATGTCTATTATACATTACAAAGGGATGTGTGTTGTATTGGGTAGTAGTAATTTAAAACCTAATGTATAGAAAAAAAAAAAAGAATTTTTTTTTGAGATATAAATGCCTTTTTTTTGTTGTTGACGTATAGCTTGTTGCCATCCCATTAATTCTGAACTATTCCTACCCAAGATATATCGTTATGTAGTATACTCCTGTAACTTGTCCACTTTGATACCCGAATTCCGTAATTACCATCTTTTTTCTTGTTGCTTTTGACATATTCCATAACTTGTTGACTTATTGCCAATTATTGCGAACCTCTTGGTATGCTTTATCGCCAGAAATATGTGGCCACTGTCTAGTATTTCTCGTTAATTCTTCCGTAAATAATCTATTATCTTACTAATTGGTCATTGTTGCATCTTTATTTGTTCTGTGACGCTCCCACTGGTGTCTGCTAACCAACGAGTTACATAACTCATAATAACTGTTGAATAAATATGGCTAAAGGGTCCGAAGGTTGTTTCAGCGGTGCCTGAGTTCTGAAAAGTGATTTGAAATTAAGGAAATCATTACCATGGCGATAGAAAAGAGAAAATTGATTTGTTATGGTAGATTTTGAAAGTGATAGCTGCTGTATTGACATGCTTTGTACATCTTCATTGTCAATATTAATTTCCCTGCAGTTATTTTTGGAGGAAACTGAAAATCAATCGATATAGGACGTTAAATAATATACTGTTTACTGTTTAAACGACATTTAGTAATTGCACACATTAAATTAAAAAAAGAGATTAATATGGAAAATAATTATTGTATTTAATAGTAATAATAATAATTGATTTATATAGCGCCAACAATTCCACTTGGCAAGCTGCGCTTTACATAAGTGAGAGAGAGAGAGAGAGAAATGGGGTTTAATGTCCACTCAACACAAACTAGGTCATTTCGGGACTAACATGGTTCAATTTTTTTTCCATAATTCGCTTGCGCGTACGGGTCTTTAGCAGTGACAAACTTTATGATACAGCATGCACTTGCTAACCATTCAGCCATCCAACCCACTCTTTACATAAGTACAACTAATATAAAATTACAAAAATCACAACACATTAATCGATAAAAAAAAAATTTGCAGCTTCGTTTCTACAATGATTGTCTTGTCGTTTTCTTGTACTTGGAAAGCTATTGAACCATCGTAGAAACGTAGCTCTGATTACACATACAGTAATTATTTTCCATAGAATGTTAAATAATCTCCGCGTCTGACAGAAGTTTTAAGAGGATCAGGATGAATTATTTTACAATTTAGTTTTTTAACACGCGTCTATAGTTTTTTTTACGATCATCTTAAAGGGTCATTATGGTAGATAAGATAAAGAGCTGACAGTTCTCACTATAATAGTTAAAGATACATTATGGGAGATTAGATAAAGAGCTGACAGTTCTCACTATAATAGTTAAAGATACATTATGGGAGATTAGATAAAGAGCTGACAGTTCTCACTATAATAGTTAAAGATACATTATGGGAGATTAGATAAAGAGCTGACAGTTCTCACTATAATAGTTAAAGATACATTATGGGAGATTAGATAAAGAGCTGACAGTTCTCACTATAATAGTTAAAGATACATTATGGGAGATTAGATAAAGAGTTGACAGTTCTCACTATAATAGTTAAAGATACATTATGGGAGATTAGATAAAGAGTTGACAGTTCTCACTATAATAGTTAAAGATACATTATGGGAGATTAGATAAAGAGCTGACAGTTCTCACTATAATAGTTAAAGATACATTATGGGAGATTAGATAAAGAGCTGACAGTTCTCACTATAATAGTTAAAGATACATTATGGGAGATTAGATAAAGAGCTGAAAGTTCTCACTATAATAGTTAAAGATACATTATGGGAGATTAGATAAAGAGTTGACAGTTCTCACTATAATAGTTAAAACATAGATAACGTAAAGAGAATATGCTGAAAATTGCTCCACTCTGATCCGAGATATTAGCGATTGAATTTTAGACGTAGCCCTGATCATCATTACTAAAGTCGGTACGATAAAAAACATAGTCTTGATTATCCATTTTGACGTTAAATCATACATTATGCAAGAGCTAAATCTGCCAATTACAGGTATTTTTTTAGGCCTGAATTGTTATCTAAATCTTTAATAAGACATTAATTAACAAAAGAAGACCATAATCAACTATCGGTGTCATCACGAGCCTGCAATATTTACTGGATTTGAATCCGATCTGCTGCTCAACGTTCATTGATGATTAAATAAAAAAAATGGATAATCCAGACTATGTTTTTTATCGTACCAACTTTAGTAATGATGATTGAGGATAGGCCCAAAATTCAATCGATAAATTCTCGGTTCAGAGTGGATCAATTTGATTGAAATTTTCAGCAAATTCCCTTTACATTATCTAGTTTTTAACTATTATAGTTAGAAATAGCAGCGCTTTATCTAATCTCCCATATTGTATCTTTAATAAAAGATTGTTTGTTTTCTTCATGGCATGTTGTCAAGTTGACGCACAAGAAACATTTAACAATATGTGCCTTTAATGTAACAATAAATATTGATTATGTGTAAATTGATACATGTAACATGACGACAGCAATTATAACCGTGCTACAACAATCGCTAGTCTTATGTCACTTGGTTGCGTGATTCGTCTAAATAAAAGCAAAATAACAATAAAAGTTACAAAAGTGGAATCAATGACCTGTCCCGCAGATATTGAATGATAACACAGGTCTGTTTACATGTGATGAATAGCACGATATACTTTGTTGTTTCCTTTCAATGTAAAACAAATGGATCGTGACGTTAATAATCGTCTGCTCCAAAATCAAGGGCTTGTGTATTTTATTAGTAATTGCACGAGGATAACACAACACTTAAACAAAACAGTGAACAAGACACACTATATATACAGTGTAAGAAATAAACAACGATAAACAAGAGTAAACAACAATATATACAGACAGTGTAAGAAACAAACAAGAGTAAACAACAATAAACAAGAGTAAACAACAATATATACAGACAGTGTAAGAAACAAACAACAGTAAACAACAATATATACAGTGTAAGAAACAAACAACAATAAACAACAGTAAACAACAATATATACAGTGTAAGAAATAAATAACAATAAACAACAGTAAACAACAATAAAAAACAGTAAACTACAGTAAACAAAAATAAACAGCAGTAAACAACAATAAACACCAGTAAACAACAAGATATACAGACAGTGTCAGCAATAAACAACAGTAAACAACAGTAAACAACAATAAACAACAGTAAACAACAAGATATACAGACAGTGTCAGCAATAAACAACAGTAAACAACAAGATATACAGACAGCATCAGCAATAAACAACAATAAACAATAGTAAACAACCATATACAGACAGTGTCAGCAATAAGCAACAATGTCAAATCAAGTGAATGGATCCATGGGTCAGTCATAAACGGACACAGCAATGTACAGTCTGGGGCCTGTAATGATGCAGGCTTCAATTAAAATGAAAACAAACCCAGACAAACCCAGACAAAAGGGGGAATATTTCCCAAATATTGTATCATTCTAGTGCACGTCATGATTGGCTATGTGCTCCGGTTTCCTCCAACTGCTAAAGACCCTACGAGCAAGCAAATTATTGAAATAAAAATTGAACCATATGGTAGTCCCTAAATGATCTATTTTGTGTTGAGTGAATGTTAAACTGCATCTCTCTCGCTCCCCCCCCCCCCCTCTCTCTCTCTCTCCGAATGTTGTGAAATTGTCAATTCATTGTCTTTGTAAATACAGTATCGAATTTTACCATATAGTTTTAATTTTGAGTTCTGGATTTGAAAAATAAAAATGAAAGTAATGGACCAATCTCTAATATAACTTGCATGTGTGATAACCTAGTCTTAAGGGTGTTCTCATTTAAATCAAAACAGCTGCATTTCCTTACGACCAAAAGGTTGAGACACAGACTCGAATTACTATATTTAATGCAGATTATGTTCACATAATTGAAATAGTTTGATAGCTGGGGCCTCACATTAAACATTCTACATTCTATCTGTGTATACCAGCTGTATTTGTATCATTTCTAACAATTTGGGCATTTCCAGAAAAATGCCACCGTTTTTTTTATTTTTTATTTTTGATGACTTTCTAGAACTTGATATTTATGGCGCCGCAATTATCGACAAGAATTTGCTACGAGGTTTTAGGTGTGTTTAGATTTAAGTTCCACATAGATATTTGAGATGAGTTTTAAAGAATGTATCTTTTGTTGAGGAAGTCGACTCAAGTAACAGGATTGCTATTTATTTTATAAAACGAAGAGTTGTGGATTGTTTATGTAAGTTACATGTTTAGATGGAGATTTGAAGAGAGTCAATCTGAGCACATGAATCACTTGTCGACTTTTTAGTAGGGTCCAGTTTCATTTGATGCACAGGGGCCTATTTCAGGAAATTTTAACTACGATAAAATCCAAATTTTAGTAATTTGATTGGATAATATTAGACTGATTGTGGTGCTTAGCCAATCAAAATTGAAGTTTCTACTCAAATTTTGATTTTATCTTTAGTTAGACTTTCGTAAAACAGGACCCTGGTTTCCATTGATCTGGATGATTAAAATTGAAACTATCCTTGAGGTGCACAAGGGACAATCTGATTATAGTACAGATCTATATTTTGTTTTGTATTTTTATACGCCCACATGGAAATGTGGACGAATATTGCCGTCATCCCCGTCCGTCCGTCTGACATCCACAATTTCTTGTGAATGCTCTAACACCTGAGGGGGGTGGATGGCTGAATGGTTATAGCGTGCGCGCTGTATCATAAAGTCTGTCATTGAGTCGACTGGCGTGGTTTCGAATCCCCGGTTGTACGTGGCAAGGAGTAGGGTCGCCTGTCCAACCTCGTGGGTTTTCTCCGGGTCCTCCGGTTTCCTCCCACTGCTAAAGACCCCTACGCGCAAGCGAATTATTGAAATGAAATTAAACCAAATATTAGTCCCGAAATGACCTAGTTTGTGTCGAGTGGACGTTAAACCCCATTTCTCTCTCTCTCTCTCTCTCTCTCTCTCTCTCTCTTATCATCTGATTGTTTTAAAATTGATATATGTTGTTTATATTGGTGAGATGAAGAAGCCTATTAAATTTCAATAATTTTCGTTTATTACGTCTAGAGTTATGGCCTTTGTTTCACTTTGTTGAACCATGTAAACGCTCTAACCTCTAAAGTTAACTGCCGATCTTTGTGAAATTTATATTCATTATTTAAATTAGTAAAATGAAAAAGCCTGTCAAATTTCAAAATTTTCTGTAAATAGCTTCCAGAATTGTTTCAGTTTGTATTACCTTGTGAACTCTCAAACGACAAAATTATAATCTGATCTGTATGAAATTGTCTTGTAAGGATGGGACTCCTGTGTATGTACACCATTGACAGTTGGATATCGAAATGATAGCAGGCTATTGCATTGCTATCTTGGCAAAAGTTCCCACGTAGCACACTGCATGGTGTATGCCTGCCTTTATTAGCCCAGTCGTGGGGATTGGATGGCTGGATAGTTAGCGTGTGAGTGTTGTAACATAAAGTCTGTCATTGAGTCATCTTGCATGGTTTTGATTCCCCGGTTGTACCTGACAAGGAGTAGAGTCGTCTGTCCAACCTCATGGGTTTTCTCCGGGTCCTCCAGTTTCCTCCCACTGCTAAAGACCCCTATGCTCAAGTGAATTAATGAGATAGAATTGAATGATATGTTAGTCCCGAACAGGCCCGTAACCAATAAAACAATAGATATACATTGTCTGTCAATTTTACAGCACTCCCGTCAAAGGGCAAAACCTAGTAACTCACTTTATTATCAAAATTGAGTTAGGACCAAATTTGTAGTTACTTGGGTATGTGTCTCCTGTTGTTGTACTAGATATTCCAATCTTTTGATTTTGTAAGCAGTTACACCCATGACACAACATAGCAACTTCCTTCATTTGCCTAGTATACCACAGCAAAACCTAGTAACTCAATAGTCAAATCAAAGGATGAGCTGGGGTTTAATATTCATTCATTACGTTTTCCTTTGTTTTCTCAAAATAAGAAGAAAGTGAGTTACTAGGTTTTGCCTTTTGACGGGAGAACACCTCTGAGAATACTTCTCGCCCCCCCACGTTGCTCTGAGCTAGTTACGGCCCTGGTCCCCGAAATGACCTAGTTTGTGTTGAGTGCCTGTTAAACTCTCTCTCTATCTCTCTCTCTCTCTGTTTTAAATCATATGTAAGTAATCAGGAATCAGCTTGGTTTTTGTTTGTGTTTATCACTATCAAAAATGGAAAGTAAAAAAAAATAAACATTAAAATGAAACTCTCCTTAAACAAACTTTCCGCACACAATCTTTCACTTTATTATACGGCCAAAAGATATCTCAGATATCTTATAATAAAATATATGAAGACACATTTATATCCATAAAGTCAATGTTGAGATTAAATAAATGTGGAAAAACAGCATACCACTTCGTATATGTGGAGGGTTGGATTGCCGAATGGTTAGCATGTGCGCGCTTTATCTTAAAGCATGTCATTGAGTCAACTGGTGTGGTTCCGAATCCACGATTGTACGTGACAAGGAGTAGGGTCGCCTGTCCAACCTCATGGGTTTTCTCTGGGTCCTCTGTTTTCCTTCCACTACTAAAGACCGCTACGTGCCAGCGAATTGTTGAAATAAAATTAAACCATATGTTAGTCCCAAAATGACCTAGTTTGTGTCGAGTGGAGGTTAAACCCATCTCTCTCTCTCTCTCTCTCTCTCTCTTATATGTACATATTTATACACTTGGGAGGGAGGTAGGTCACAACTCCAAATATAAATAAACATTTTTATCTGATGGGGAGGTCGCATGGTTAGTTTACAGCCAATTAAATTGAAGATTTAAATGCTGGATGCATGTTATTCCTGCATGTCTTCAGGCGTGATTGGTGTCATTACAAAACCCCCTTATATATATTAATGAAATAATCTGAAAAACTCAAATTTGTTTTATAAGTGAAGAGTTCATTATGCACAAGAAGGAAGAAAAAGGGTGGACAAGTTCTTAGTGTAGTAATCTGTATTTATGTTAGAAGGTCTCAGTTTTTTGGGTCAGAAATGTGATAGTTTTCATTCTAGCAAGATTTGACATTTGAATTAATATGCTATGTAATTCAGACAAACTCAGGATTTTTAATGATATAAAAATAAATTGTGTCAATTAAACGTATGTTATGCAGGAGCTAAATCTGTCTGTTGTAGGTCTTTCTTTAGGCCTGAAATTTTATATAAACTATTAACTAGACATTAATTAACATATCCAGACCATAATCAACTCTCCATTGCATCGCTAGCCTGTGATATTTACTGGATCTGAATCCGATCTGCTGCTCAATGCTCATTGATGATTAAATCAAAAAATGGATAATTGAGACTATGTTTTTAATCATACCGACTTTAGTAATGATGATCGAGGCTAGGCCTAAAATTCAATCGCTAAATTCTCTGTTTAGAGTGGATCAATTTGACTGAAATTTTCAGCAAATTGCCTTTACATTATCTAGTTTTTAACTATTATAGTGAGAACTGACGGCTTTTTATCTAATCTCCCATAATGCCCAAGTGAGAAATATAATAGAAACAGACTATCTACGTCATCAGCGATGTCTAGTGTGTTTTTGATGCCTCGCTAATCTGGAGATCTGGCCACGAGTTCACAAAGCATTTTCAGACTTAAGAATTTACTCAAAATTGTTCGCCTTACTTTAACTAAAATATAGCCCTTTATAAAACTTTTGTTGTTTTAATGTATCAAATACATCAATAAGAAACGATGTGCAAAGTTTTGTGTTTCTGGAACAATGATATTTCTCATAAACAGTGATTGAAAGTTGAGTAAATTCTTAACTTAAATCTGAGAATGCTTTGTGAACTCAGGGCCTGGTGTTGGCCTGAAAAGGTCCTAAGGATTTTCAATCTGTTTAAAATACAGATAAATATTTCGTTTCGTTTTTTATACTTTCGATGGCCTCTAATACATGAAGATCTGACCGGTTTTAGTGGGAGATCACGTCAGAGGTCAGTCATACGAGCGTCTTTTGACCCTATAATGTCAGATATTTGATTGAGCAATCAGCGTTGATGTTTCTAGTAGGCTACCCACAGTTCTGTGCACCTCATGCCAAAAACTCTCTGTAACAGATTGTTTCTTTGGCTATTCCCTCACATCAACCAAAATGCGTGCTATATAACAACTCTTCCAGATCCTAGTGTAGAAAAGACAAATAAAACGAAATTTCGAACTATAAAAAATGAAACGAAATAGGATCTGTGTTTTAATCCGATTGATATAACAGATGACATAATTATATGGAATACAAGTTACGTTTCGACAGGTGCTCTGTCGTATTTATCAAGCAAAGAATTAATTATTTATTTTGTTCATTAACAGGGTACAAGATCTGGTTGGATATGAAAGCAACGAGCTGGTTGGTCAGTCTATGTATAATTATCATCATGCCCTGGACAGCCATGTTGTTGAGAAAGCTTTTAAAGATTGTAAGATTATTATTTTATTTATGGGAGGGTTGGGTGGACGATTGGTTTAACATGTGTGCTTTAGATCATAAGGTCTTTGGGGGGCTAGGGTTGGAACCCTGAATAGTTATCGCGAGTGCACTGTTTCACAAAATACTATCATTGGGTCAACTGGCATGGTTTCCAATCCCTGGTTGTACGTGACAAGGAGTAGGGTCGCCTGTCCAATCTCGTGGGTTTTCTCCAGGTCCTTGAGTTTCCTCCCACTGCTAAAGATCCCTACGCGCAAGCGAATTATTGAAATAAAATTGAAGCATATGTTAGTCCCGAAATGACCTAGTCTGTATCAAGGAGTAGGGTTTGCCTGCCTAACCTTGTGGGTGTTCTCCGGTTTCATTTCCTCCCACTGCTAAAGACCATCTGTGCAAGCTAATAATTAAAATAAGATTGAACCATATGTTAGTCCCGAAATGAAATAGTTTGTGTTGAGTTGACGTTAAACCTCTATATAAAACCACCACTATGATATTTATGGATTTATCTGATCAAAAAAAAACTTAAAGACTGAAAATCTGGATTTATTAACCTTCGGAAATAAAAATATTATTATTAGTGCTCTGCTAATGAGATGCTAATTGCCTGAAAATGAGTTTTGTAAACCTAACAATAATTTCAATATCTATTTCAGTATTTGCCAAAGGTCAGACGATGACAGGCCAGTACAGATTTTTGGCCAAGAAAGGAGGTTATGTGTGGGTCGTTACCCAGGGAACCATCATCTACAATAATCGTACACAGAAACCTCAATGGGTTGTCTGTGTTCACTATGTTCTCAGGTATTTATTCATATCTCTCTCTCTCTCTCTCTCTCTCTCTCTCTCTCTCTCTCAGGTATAGTTCAATATTTATTCATATTCATCAACATTAAAGTACTACATCATGGAATCAACGATAAATCTAAATTCGGGTAACCCAAATCTTTTAAGCAGAAGAACTTGACAAATAGTAATTTGAAGGATTAAAACTGGGCTAATGAAGACGGGCATACGCCATACAGTGTGTTATGAGGGAAATTTTGCCCAGACAGTGGCACTACGGCCTACTCTTATATCGAATTCCAACTGTCAAGGGATCTTTTACGTGCACGCCAATTGTGCATGGGACCTCGGTTTTTCGTCTCATCCGAATAACTAGACAGCTGTCCTTGTCAGGCCCTCCGTCCTGCATCACTGACAAGGGGAAACCACGCTGGAAAATCTGGATGAACTTTCTCGGCCAATGCAGGGATCGAACACCCGACCTCCAGGCTAGCGAGCCAGCGTCTTACTCACTTATTCTGAGTGATCTAATGTGCTCTTTAGATTATAAGGTCTGTTATTAGCCCCGTTTACATTACAAATTTGAAGCGTGCCAGGTACGGGGCTAGATACGGCACCATTAATTGTTTTGTTGTGTAAATGGGTCAAACAAAAGCGTGCCGTACTGAGTACACTGCCAATTTTCACTAGGGACCGGGTATCATTCAGATTTGATGAAAAATGGAAAGAAACTGAGCTTACCATCTAGAATCTAATACACGTATATAACATAGTTTGAGTTAATAGAAATAAAACATGATCTGGATGCAACATTTTATTCTAGCATACTAGATATACTATAAAGTCGTACCTGGTCAGCCGCCAAAGCTGGTCTGATTTACATGAAAAACCAAAGCCAATTTATACTAAATTCACTTTGATAACACGGGTAATTAATAATATGGAACAAAAGGACTTATGTAAAGACTACATAATTAAATCATTTGTCATTGATAGATTATCTCACTATAAGCATATGGCAGGCTTCAGAACAATTGATGTGTGACAGCTAACGCTAGTAAACGTCATTAGTGATCAGTGGATTATCTAACTTGACCATTATACATATGGCAGCATCTGGTTCTTTATTAAATGAACAATAGTGTGGTCAATTAGAGAACAGTGGAGAGTTTATTACACATGCGGTCATAGGATAATTATAATCTTTTACCTATCACTGTCTCTCACACTATGTAACACGTATCCAATAGATTGCCGTCCAGAAAGTATTAAATGGCAACAAGATTCATCAAAGAAAACGCCCAGTTTCTGCTACCATGTAGTTTAAGAAACACTGTTTAGTTTTGACATTGGTTATCTAGTTTATGACCATTTAGTTTAGTTTTGATATTGGTTGTCTGACTCGTCTGGTTTATGATCATTTAGTTTCATAAACTAGACGACCAATGTCAAAACTAAACAGTGTTTCTTAAACTACACGTAGCACAAACTGGATGTTTTTTTATTAATCTTGACGACGGCATACTGCCGATTTTGAAGTGAGGTGTTCTCAGCACGGTTGAATTTTCGTACTGTAAATTCTATGCGGTCTGAGAACGGTTCATTATCAAATTATAATGTCTGTAATTACACTGCATATTTCTTTGGAAGTCATTGTCATGTCAAGGTATGATGCACTGACCACTAATACATTCTCTTTGAAGTTCTGTCGAATTATACATGAATCATGTGTAGCTTGTAAAAAACATAATGAATAAATTAGATATTTAATAAGATCGTGCCTTAACAAAAGTTTATAGAGAGTTTAAATGTCAACTTCAGGTATAGATCACTTTGTCACACATCTGCCTAACTTCAAAGGTCTCCTTTAATTACCTTCTGCTGCAAAAGACAGCCAATTATTAAAATAAAGCACGCCATTTCTTAGTCTCAAAATGACAAAGTATGTGTACCCATTTGAACCCTAGCTTTCATGGTATTTGTTTATTACTGTTGAAAGATTCCAGCCTTACACAGGTTTCACTTAATGGATTAAAAAGGAAAGGGAAATCTATCAACTTCGATTTTATCAGTCTTCTGTTCATTTAAAATACAGATATGACGTCATCCTTTGATGTTTGTGTACCATTATTTCAAATAACGCTACAGGGGACGGGCAACTTGCCAATCATACATTATTTATACTAGATGAAATATTGGACTTGTGTGACATATTTCATTGAAATGCATGTGCGGGATAGTGATGGATTTTAAGTTGTTTAATGGTCTTGTGCTTAGACATTTCGTAATATATTGAACTCGGGCTAACACTCTGGTGCAGTATCAATATGTTACTTAAGATACTTTCCCTGTGTACAAACTGTGTAGAATCTGGGTGATTTGATGATATATTTGGAACAAAAACATATTCAAACTAATTAATCTATCAAAAATTTGCTTCAAATCCCTCTCAAAACTTTGTATATGCGGGGAGATTCCTCAAGCTATAAATAAACTGTTGTTAGAGGCCATGTCGGTCATCTTGCTTCTTTGACTGAGGGTCCATTTTTCAAAACGTATTTTTCATTACTTAAAGTCCATTTACCATACATATTGAGGTCTGAGTAAATTCTTAATTATTTTCTGTCAACTTCTTCTTCCGCTGTTTAATTGCAGAGTCTTTTGTACGTTGACACCCCACAATGTTCCCAACACCGCCTAACCATTTGATCAAGAAATAACAACCGCTCCCTCACTTAAGCTGGCACACAATAAGCTAGTAGATAACACCCCACAATGTTCCCAACACCGCCTAACCATTTGATCAAGAAATAACAACCGCTCCCTCACTTAAGCTGGCACACAATAAGCTAGCAGATAACAGTCGGGTTGCCAGTTAGTGATACTATAATGGTGTGATAATCTGCCAATCGCTAAGATAATTAATATTTCTTAAATTAACCACTTTAAGATCAACTGGCTAGTACGTCGTTAATCTGTCAGCCATTTCAAGCTGTCATTGGGTAACGACGTTAATCCCATCTATTGTTTTTGTTGATTTATTATATTGTTTAATCTTTTATGTATTGTTCATCTATCGACATGTCAGTTTTAATTACAACATTTACCTTTATCCTATTATCTAATTTTCTTTAAATATTACAAAATTTGTACATTGAAGGCAATCACTAGTTAGGATCCCTCACTAAGTACAGTAACTGGCCTGTCAGTACTGTATGACGATATATATGTATATTTATGTTCCGGTATATTAAAGAATTGAAGAATCATTCGAAGTCTTTTACATGTATATCCGAAGAGAGAATTTACACCTCTAAAATACCCTGACAATTTTGCCCAGTGCTTGCCCCATGGGTGTTTTTCGGGTAATCCAGTATTTTTCTAGTAAGATTATAAGTGTCTATACTTTCCATACATACCAAATTTGATATACTTTTATTGGAAATAACTTCCTGATAAATACTTTCGGGACAATGTATCTTTAATGTCTCGTTGGTCACCATTAAACCAAACTTGATGATCATCAACAAGTGGAAATAATATACTATTACAAATGTTAATAATTGTTAATTTGAATGAATCATCAACTTAGCTATTTTATGACCCCTAAAACTATAAATAGACATTTATCTTTGTAGATATATCTTGGTTTTTCCATATTAAACTTTTCATATTTATGACCTGGTACTGGTACGAACTGAAGAATAATTTCCGTTAAGATAAAATTTATTTACCCTCCAAGCACTGACACTCAGGACTTGAAATGAAATGGGGTTTAATGTCCTACTGTTCTGCTCCGAACTGGGCTAATGAAGACGGGTGTATGCCATACAGTGTGCTATGAGGGAAATTTTGCCCGGACAGCAGCACTACGGCCTATACTTATATCGAATTCCAACTGCCAAAGGATCTTTTATGTGCATGCCAATGTATATGGGGGATCTTTGCTTATCGTACCATCCGAACGACTAGACAGCTGCTCTTGTCAGGAGAGAGAGAATGGGATTTAACACGCACTCGGCATAAACTATGTCATTTCGGGACTAACATATGGTTCAATTTAATTTCAATAATTCGCTTGCGCGATGAGGTCTTTAGCAGTGGTAGGAAATCGGAGGACTTGGAGTAAACCCATGAGGTGGGACAGGTAACTGTACAGGTGGGGCATCGACACCATACCACTTGACCGTCACTCAATGACAACCCTTGTGATTTAACGTGTTGACTTTAAACCAATAATTGACCATACATAATATGGAACACAATTACTATTTTAATTAAACATACATTATGCAAGAGCTAAATCTGTCTATTGCAGGTCTTTCTTTAGGCCTGAAATGTTATCTAAATTATTAATTAGACATTAATTAACTTATCCAGACCATAATCAACTCTAGATGGCATTGCTAGCCTGCTATCTGAAGTGGATTGTGAGCCGATTTACTGCATAACTTTCCTTCTCGATTAAACGATTAAATGGATAATCGAGACTATGCTGTTTATCGTACTGACTTTAGTAATGATGACCGAGGCTAGGCAGAAATTTCATTCGCTTAGTTATCGGTTCATAGTGGATCAATTTGAATGGAATTTTCAGCAAATTGCCTTTACATTATCTAGTTTTTAACTATTATAGTGAGAACTGCCAACTCGTTATCGAATCTCCCATAATGTATTTTTAAAGCAACCTTTCGAAACAGTGCTTCCAATAAAATACCGGTAGTATTTGTGTTCCATGTTTTTGTGTTTTTTTGTGTGTCAATTGCTAAATGCTGCTCGAAGAAGAAATTCATTTATCGGTTTGTTTATTTATTAAAAATTTACATACTTATTTTTAATCAATAACCTAAATGAAATGTTTATTTTTGTAATTTCCCAAAAGTGTCACTTTTATTAATCTTAAGTGCCTTTTCCTCTTGGCACCCGCAAAATCATATCAGACTCAGCTATAAACTTGCACTTGAGAAACACTGACCTGGGTTTTATCTAGATCACGTGAATCACTCATGAAAGCAAGA